TAAATTAAATATTTAACTAAATCTATTAATAACTTATTTAACTAAATATTTAGCTCAAACCTTTTTTTTTCAAAGTTAAACATTTAATTTCCAAAATAAATATTTAATTTACTAACTAAATATTTAGCTTGGACCTAAATATTTCTTTTCCAAATGAAATATTTAATTTCCAAAATAAATATTTAATTGGCTAACTAAATATTTAGCTCAGACCTAAATGTGTATTTTCCAAACTAAATATTTAATTTCCAAAATAAATATTTAATTTGCTAACTATATATTTAACTTGCAATTTAAATATTTAGTTTGTAAATTAAACATTTATCTTGGACATAAACATTTAGTTTGTACACTTAATATTTAGTGTGGAGCTAAATATTTTGCTTGCTAACTAAATATTTAACTTGCAAGTTAAGTATTTCGTCGTTTATAGACTAAATATTTAGCTTGTAAATTAAATATTTAGTTTGGAACTATGCCATTTATAAATTTATGAAGGACATGGTGAAAATATGATTTGAAAAAAAGTTTTTTTTTCTTATGAAAGGCTAATAAATAAACTAAAATATTGATGTTAGTTTTTGACTGTGTAACTTTACAACCGGAACCCCATAACATTCACACTAAATCCAGAAGTAGGGTTTTGTGTCCCGACACTTGTGTTCTGTCATTGTCTGCTAGTCGAATGATTGGAAAAGGTCACAGCCAGCGTGTCCTGTTTGCTCCTAAACCTTTACTTGTTAATGTTAGTAAAGATAACGGTTTTCATTCCTTCAAATTCCATTCCATTATAGACCTGGATTTTTCCTGCCTTTTTATATAACCCTGCTGTCCTTCTCCTCATGAGTAAGATCTGTAACGATTAATCAGTCGTCTGTTAGGATGATGACGAGCACCTCCAGCTCCTTATTTATCAGAGTGAAGTAAGGTACGTGCAGTGCCAACAAGTCAACCCCTTAAAACAAAATCAAAATGGACTAACTTAACTGCTATAGCTTGATACATTTGAAATACATAAAAAAAACCTCATTGTAAACCTTTTAGTATTAAAATACACATCATTGTTTAGTTGTTTAATATGAGGTGGCAGTGCACGTTTTTCTGTGGTGTAGTACAATTTTAAGGCAAAACTGAACATTTCAGTTTCACAACACTCCAATGTTATGAGCTCTGTGGACAGTCAACGTAATGCAGGTGGGCTGGGTGTTCTTTTACTTTGCATTTGAGTTTTGACAGATCTAATAGTGTTTGTCCATGAAGGATTTTATTATCCAAAGAAAACTCAAACAAGGCAAACTGAGGCAGCTGTGGCTGAGTGGTTAGAGCGGTCGTCCTCCATTGGGAGAGTTGTGGGTTCGATTCCACCAGCAGTCACATGCTGGAGTGTCCCTGGGCAAGACACTGAACCCTCACTGCCTCCAATGTGTCCCATGAATGTGATCTAAAGCACTGATTAGTCTCTACAGAATGATTTGTGCTGGTTAGCTGAGATGTCGTAGAGTGCTGAGTGAACGTGTGTGTGGAGGTAAATGAGACAAACTATAGGCAAAGTCAGCAGGAATGGATTAGGAGGCAGTTTTACTATCTGGGGTAGTTTAATGTCTGGTTGCAATTCAAAAACAGGGCCTGCGTGAGCATTCAGTTCTGCAGGTGAGATTCCAAAACTGTGCAAATTTTTTAAAAACCGAGTCTCAAAAAGGTGGTTACATAACATGAGTCAAAAACAAGCAGACCTGCTGATGATCAGGAGCGACCCTCAGATCGATTCTTGTAACTGCAAGCACAGCACGTTTACTATGACGAGCTTATTTCCTTACAAATGTTGCCTACTGAACTTATTTTGGTAAATAAATTCCTACATGCACATGAATGTCCTAAGACTTCACTCTTCTTTTTTTTTAAACTACATTCAAACATGTTGCACACACATGTAAAGTCTTTAAAGCTCTACGTGTGGCCTTATAACAAAATAATAAAACCATTTTGCACTTACCTAACAGCCAACTATCGTCTACTGTAAAACTCAAACAAATCTGTACGCCTTCCACAAAACGTGTTTTTAAAGCCATATGACGTTATGCTTCCTCTGCTACTGGGAACAATAAAAGTAAGAATGATAATAGATTTGCATCCAGTACACAAAACAATATTTTAAATATAAAAGAACAAAAACCTTCTAAGAAAATTGATACACAAGTTTGTATCAAATTTGATCCAAGGATTTTTCATTCTAAATTATTGTGAATCAACAAACAAAAGGACCAAATGTAAAGATTACTGTATTTTCCAGCCTATAAGTCGCACCAGAGTACAAGTCGCATTAATAGTCATTAATAGCCACTTTTTCCTATTACATGATACAACAGCATGCCATACTACTCGAGTGTCATCTAGAGGCTGAAAATGGTAGTGTTCAATATTTTCAATGTCAGAATGAATGAAAACGGTCATATCTCAGTCAAAAATTGGTTTATAAATATGGGGAAAAATCCATAAATAAGTCGCTTTGGCGTATAAGTTGCAGGGTATGCAAAACAAAAAGGTGCGACTTATAGGCCGGAAAATATGGTATTGTATCCACACCACTTGGGCGGTGTTGTTGAGCTGCTTTGGTAAATAATAATACAATCGTCTCCTAAAACATAATCCTTTGGCCTTTGAAACACATTTAACGGAAAAACTTTTTACAATCTTTCTGCCAGCAACAGCTTTGCATTCTCCTTGCAGAAAATAAGTCACGTCAGGCGCAAAAGTTAAGACTCGTTTGTTCTGTTGGGAACCAGCGGCGCAAGTTGGCCGCACAGCAAAGAGCTTACTGGGTGTGTTTGATTAAATACAATCCTCCCTGAATTTTGCACTCTATACACACAAACAAAATGGCCAGATGCAAATAATATTGGATCCAGACCACCAGGGTGGTAACCTTGAGCTGCTTTGTAGAAAATAAATACAAAAAAGTGTTTAAACTGTAGGGGTGTAATGGTACGCGTAAACTGGAGTTTGATGAGTGCCCCTGTATTCAGGTCCGGTTTGGTAAAAACAGGAAACAAAACAAGGTCAAAACAAATGCTAAGTTTTTTCACAGTTTTGGAGATGGATGTCTTAAAAAAAACAACTCTTGGAGACGCTAAAGCAGTGGTTCTCAAATTGGGGTCCCCAGACCCCCGAGGGTCTGTGAGCCAGTGCTTGGGGGTCCACAAATGTGTATATATATATATATATATATTTTTTTTTTTTTTTTTTTTAAACCAGCATGTAGATGTTTAACAACTCGTTAAAATACACCAAAATGCAGGAAATCACATCTACTTTATTCAAAATTTTCTGGGGGAGGAGCCCCGGACCCCTCCGCCCCTCATTTGCATTCTAGCATCAATCAGTTTACAAACGAATCCCTGTTACTTGGTATGACTACTGTTATGATTCTGTTCAGTTTTCTGTAAAAAGTTTTCTGTAATGATTTGAAGTGGCGCTACATTTATTATGTTCATTAAGTGAATCGGTAAAGTTCAAAAGTTTTTGATCCTGTTACTTTCCTCAAAACTGTCATTTTTGGAAGTCGAAATTAAAAATTGTGTTAAGTGCATCTTGATTAAAAAATACACCATGTATAAAAGTATAAAAATTGTTTTAACACTATTAAAGAGCAGGTCTTAAGTATTTATGTTACACAGATATTTTGCATTAAAGAGACAAATTGAAGAAAAGCATTTAATAAACCTGAGAGTTATGAGGGGGGGGGGGGGGGGCAAACACCAAAAGTTTGAGAACCTCTGCTCTAAAGTAACAGGATGTGTACAGCAATGGTAGGACTTGTCAGCTATTACGTTAAATGACAAATAAAAAAATAATAAAAATGCCCCAATTCACTGTCTTATTCAGCCATTTTGAACTTCAAAATGTCCTCCAGGCTACAAGTCAAACAAAAAGTCTAATAAACTCCCAAACTGAAAGGTATCTTTTATTTTATTAAGAAAAACAGTACAAACAAGGAGTGTTTGGTTTTGGTTATTTTGGCCTAAACTGAAAGCAAAACAAAAGCTAATACATAAACATACAATTTCTCCATGTAAATAAATATCATGTTAAACGCTCCTTTGAGAGTGTTAGTGTGCCGTTCACACACTGAGCATTCATTAAATGCTTGGCGGAATATTTATTAGAGTTAACACCAGATGGGGTTTCAAAGAGCACAAATAATGACCCTTCTGACTTTCCATACTTCCAACTCTTGCTGGTACTCCTGTGCTCTTCACTGCTGCTGTAGGTGACTGGAAACACAAAACTTTTCCACACTGTTCTGCAACACACAGCTCGTTTGTGCATCTGCTCTTTTCTTGCTTCGCTTCCATGTAGAGCGCTTTAGACAGCGTCATCCTCTGTTTGTTGCCATGGCAGTTAGCGAAAATCAGGGTGGGTAAATCAAATTTTAGATGGGAGTGGTGTCTGTGACCATTATATTCTTCATCTGATTGCATGTACTGGACCCTGACGTCAGTACGAGTGCTTGTCCTGTTACACCCCTACAAAAGTGGCTTTGCAACAGGCACAGAGCATAATTAAATCTGCCCCTAAAGCTCAGTCAAGACTGGACGAGTTAAAATTGCGAGTACATTTGATAACTTCACAGTCAACAACCAATATGATCTTGTAAAAAAAGTTATTTATAAATACAATAGTAGTATGTCTGATGTTTCTAAATCATATATTTTTTTAATTAGTTTGGTTTATTTCACTTTTATAGAAAAATGGCCATGAAAAGTCTTGATTAACAAGCTGTGCCTGGTAAAACATGTGAGATAAATGAAAAACAAAGACATTGCTGAGTATTTTCTTGTGATCTCTCTCATGTGCACAATGCCCGAGTTTCTAATAACTCACCTTACTTTTAACCAAAAGTGTTGATCCACAGAAGTCATTCCTGGTGCTGGTTAGCAGAATTTCATTGCAAATTTTAACAGTGTATATGTAAGTTAGTTAAAGCAGCATGATTTTTTTTTTTTTTTTTACTTTTTGTTATTAATTTACACCTTCAGAATTGCCAGAATCATATATTCCAACAGCAATGTACAAGAAAAAGTAATCTTTTCAGGCAGAATGTGTTTTCAGCCCTTTAATGGACTTGCAACTTGTCCAGGGTGCACCCCACCACAGTGACTGATGGAGATAGGAACCAGGTGCGGGTTAAAAAAAAAAAAAAAAGATGGTGTTTTCAGGTCTACAATGTGTTAGTAGACAAATTCTTCTTTAAATGTGACCCATGAGTAAAGGTGCTCTTAAAAGATTGCTTCAAACAATTTTGCTGCAGGTACGGCAGCAGCTGAGTGCCATCAATAAATAAGTACATCATTACGCAACCCTTTGGGAACATATTTAAACCAGGCTAAACGTTGGAACTATGAGGATTAACACTAATATTCCTTTGGAAAATCTCAGGCTTAGACGAAACTAGGAAACTGTTGATGATGTGGTTGACATGTGGGTCACCAGAGGTAGTAAATCATGTCTCAGTTCCTAAAAGATGTCCCGGGCAGCAATCACTCTCAGCTTTGCTCTTTGAAGAAGAAGCCTTAAATCAACAGGAGACTTGAAAAACAAGTTGATAAATAAGCAGTTTTCCCTACAGGGTTGAAGAAGCAGCAGGTTCTGATGGATGACCTTTCGGAGCCAGACAATCCAGGGCTTGGAGGTGCAGGGTTGGAAGGTTGCAGGTTATCAGCTAGAGCTTTGTCACTTTCGAAAGCATGGGGTTAATATAGTCTTATGAGAAAGGCAAGTACTCGAACGGTATCGGGTTCAATCAAACCAGTCAACTCATGTAATGGCGTAGGCGGTTTCCCACCATGAATGTGAAGGGTAGTCAACAAAAAGTCCTTCACCTCTGCCATGTCACAGCAGTTCTCGGCTTTGGGTTTGTTTTTCACCTTTAGACACCGACTGAAGTAAAGAGTAGAACCCTGCGGTAGAGAAGCGGGAGAAAATGGGTTAGAGATAAATTAAAGGATTCGCTTACCTTCAGTATTTTTCCATTTGATGTGAAGAAAAAGTCTCACCAACTTTACGTTAATGGGCAAAACTTTACACAGTTTCAATCACGTTCAGTATAATTCTGTAATAGAAAAAAATACAATTAGACAATATTCCTTTATAGAGAAAATAGCAAAAAAATTGTTCCAACATAAGAGTCTAGAACTTTGTTCAGATACGAGAAATTTAAGTTTTGGTTACTAGGCTTTATAGTAATCAAATGAATTTGAAAAAAAGTCTGAGCCTGCAAATCTACACTGCAGGACAGCATTATTACCATCCATCCATCATTATCTTTACCCGCTTCTTCCTTTTCGGGTCATGGGGGTCACTGGTGCCTATATCCAGCAATCAGTGTGCGAGAGACCTTAGACAGGTCTCCAGTCCATCACAGGGACACAGAGACAAACGAGACAAACAACCATTCACTCTCGCGGGACAATTTAGAGTTCCCAATCAGCCTAACATGCATGCTTTTGGTTTGTGGGAGGAAACCAGAGTACCCGGAGAAAACCCACACATGCACAGAGAGAACATGCAAACTCCACCCAGAAAGATCCCGAGCCGAGATACGATCCGGCAACCTCGCTGAGAGGCGGCAGCTCTAACAACTGCGCCACCAGCATTATCACCAAATTAGAAGAAAAAAAAACTTCTACAAGCAATGTACTTTTATTTCTACACTTATTTGCAATGAAAGCGGAATGATTTAATGATAATCTTAATGTCATGTGACACAGTAAGAAAAACAACCAACGAGTTTCCATCTTCTGCACAGATGACTGATTCATATTTCCCTTTTACGCTTGAGCAGTTTTATTGCAGCATACAATTAACTCAGATTCAAGGAATTATTTTTGAAACTTACAACTTTGTTTTCTGTAAAACTTAGCAACACAAATCCCTGTTTTGTGGTGCATTTATCTCCTTTAAATCTGATAGGTCTCTGTTGTCGAAATGCAACAATACCTCTGCGTGACTCCGTTTATGGCAATATTGTTTTTCTTTTCCTGCTGGTCGAGTCTGGCTTTCAAACTGTGCAGACAACTCACAGCAAAGGAGTGAGAAATTAAGAGCTGCACTTCAGAGAGCGTCTCTAAAGGCTCCTCTACACTTTAACAAGATGTGAGATGTTGGATCTCGCTGACGTAACCTAAGATGGTCTTTATCTCATGAACTATTCATACTCAAAAAAGAAGCACTTGGATTAAATCCTGATAAGTCCTCCTGTTGCAGCACTCATCAGATTTAACAGTTCGATTTTTAGAGTGGATGTTTATTTTGAGTTGATGTTGCAGGAGATGGAGGAGAAAGATCTGGTATTTAATATGAATAATGAGTTATGCGTTGTCATCATATGTTCCCATACAATGGTGAAATTGGCTCTCTGCATTTAACCCATCGCACCTGAGATACACTCAGGTGGAGCAGTGCGCAGCTATTGAAAGTGCCTGGGGAGCAATTGGGGATAAGGTGTCCTGCTCAGAGACACCAAGAGATGTTCAATGACTAGCGATAGAACTTTGGACTTTCGGGTCCGGAGTTGGTTGCCCTGCCTCTACCCCATCTCGGCCCCAAGATGGGGTAGATTTCTGTAGTTCACTAAAAAAAAGTGCTATTTTATAAATATGTCACAAAGAGACCACCACCGATTCCAACAGATAGTGTGAGAACGTATCCCTATGCTGTCTTGCCCAGGTGCACTCAATTCCATCATTGCCATGGCTGCCCCGGGGAGCAGCACTCTCTCTCGGTCAGCACAGCCACAGAGAGCTGCCGGTTCTCCATGCTGATTCCTACATGCACAAAATTATCCAATCTCCTTCCATTAGTTCTTTTACTACCTTCAAAACTTTCAATTCACTTTATCATTTTTACTGGAGCAGTCGTAACGTTTGCTATATGATCAATATTATTTATATCACAGTTTCAGCCCACAACTGTTTTCAGAGATCAGCATACTGCAGCCACTTTTAATAAACAAACCCACCCACAAGGTTCTGACTAATCACACATAGCTTGATGTATACCCTGCAGGAACATACTGTAGTTCTAACTGCAGGCAATGCAGAGGAGGTGTCAGCAGGTGGTGAGAGAGGCAATGAGGGTAATTTTCGTCACACACCCACATTGAACCTTCTCATTGCCTCTAAATCCAGTTTAACACTACACAGACAGAAAATAGTGTAAAAGACAAGTTTGTGTGGGGATTCTGGAATTTTCACCTAACCAGCAGTTTTTGCAGCTTCCTGAGTGAAAGGGCAGTAATTAAAGGAGTAGTAGGTTTTCTCCATCCTGCTGATGATCTCCAGGGTCAAACTGTCTTCTTACCACTGGAACATTTGATATGATTGGTAACAAATCTACAGACTGATCAGTCATTCTCTCTGTGAGAAATAACTACACTTGAATTTCCTTTTGCTTTTAGTCCTGGTCCCCTGGTGTTTCCTCCTTGGATGTCTGGTCCTCCTCATGTCTCCAAGAGAATCCATTGGAACCATCTCCTTGTGACTCCTAATGAAATCTCTGCCATCACTCTTGCCAGCCTTGAGTTCATCCTGCCACTCTCCATCAAATCTACTACTCACCTTCTGTACACCTCTGTCTTAGTCAGGTCCTGGATTCTTTCGTCCTCCTCTCTGGGCCTGAAGACAACAAGAGAACTGTAAACTAAACTATTCATTCACTTCTGACTTCTCAAGATCAAATATCCACTCTTTGCAAATCCTCCTGTGTTCCCCACCACTCCAATGCCTGTAAATAAAAGCACTTGTCTTTTGAACTTTTAACCAATCTTGCCTTCAGTTGTACTACTCTGGGTGTTAAAGTACTGCATTTATGATTGAATGTTCCAGCCTCGATGCTGTCTCACAGAGTAAGACTGAAGTGAGAAGATTCACCACACTTTTTCTACTCAAATTAAACTTAACTGGTAGAGCTGCTGCCTCTCAGTGAGCAGGTTCCTGGTTCAAATCCTGGTCCGGGGGCCTGTCTGGGTGGAGTTTGCATGTTCTCTCCGTGCATGCGTCGTTTTTCTCCGGGTACTCTGGTTTCCTCCCACAGACCAAAAACATGTATGTTAGGTTGACTGGTAACTCTAAATTGTCCCTAGGTGTGAGTGAGAGAGTGAATGGTTGTTAGTCTGGTTTGTCTCTATGTGGCCCTGTGATGGACTTGCGACTTGTCAAGGGTGTACCCCACCCCTCGCACAGTGATTGCTAGACATGGACACCGGTGATCCCCATGACCCATAATGGAAGAAGCTGGTAAATGATAATGGATGGATGGATGGATGGATGGATGGATGGATGGAAACCAATACCTGAACCAGAACCGATGCAAGTGGGATGCATTCACCTTACTTGGGAGGAAATGCAGCAGAGAATAAGAGCTAAGGAGTGTATCTACTGTGGTGATACTGGACAATTTATTGCCAACTGACCAGTATGGGTAAAAGCGTTTTCCCACCAGTAAGTCAGGAGATATTGGTGGGAACTTCTGGTTTTCCTGACTCTCATATTACCAACAACTATCTGTATTAACCACATCAATCTACCTATCTTTGCTCTTGTTGACTTCAGCGCTGAGCAAAATTTAATTAGTAAGGATTTGGTGGAACAATTGCAGATTCCTGTGAAGCATCTTACTCAAACTTTCAATGTTGCTGCCCTGACAGGTCAGACTCTAACCAAGATTACTAACCAAATTGAGTAATCTCTGATAACCGTCACGAGGAGGATGAGTTATTTGATTTTGATTCCCCTACTTCCCAATTCATTTTAGACTACCTGTGACTCCTTAAACATAAACTATAATAAATTGGGTTAAGAAAATGATAGAGGTATGGAATTTGTTTAGAAACTTGTTTATGCTCAGCCATTACCAGTTCTGGTAAAGATCCAGAGATCCCAGAGAGAGTTTACTTTTCTAAAATCCTATCTATTTATCATAATCTTGCTTCTGTGTTCAGCAAACACCTTATCCTTGCCTCTCCATAGACCATATGACTGTGCCATAAATCTCTTTCTGGATGCCCCCCTGCCTACCAGCAGATTGTACAATACAACCTCTCTGAGAAGGAGACCATGTGTAATTAATTACAACGATGAGTCCCTGGCTTCAGGTATAATTTGACCCTCCAACCTCACCTATGGGACCTGGTATTTTCTTTGTTGATAAGAAGGACAATACATTAAGATCTTGTACAGACTACCGGACTGAATCAGATCATTGTTAAAAATAAGTATACATTGCCTCTTATTGAATCAGTTCATGAACAATTACATTCAGCCACTATTTTTTCTAAACTGGACTTAAGATATGCCTACCATCTGGTTAGAATCAGAGATGGAAATGAATGGAAAACAGCCTACAGAACCCCCCTGGGCCATTTAAAATACTTTGTAATGCATTTTTGTTTAACCAGTACCCCCACCATTTTCCAAGCTCTTGTTAAAGATGAACTCCGGGGCTTCCTAAATATTTTTGTGTTTGTTTGATTAGATGACATTCTCATCAATTCCAAGGATCCTGAGCAACATACTGATCATGTCAGTGAAGTGTTACAATGCCTACTGGAGAAACAGCTATTGATTAAGGTTGGGAAATATGAGTTCCACTTTTCCTCCCTGTCACTTTTGGGTTTCATTTTTGAGTGGGCAGGTTTGGATGGATCTGGAAGAGATCAATGCTGTGGCCGGGTGGTCTGTTCCAGAGAACAGTAAACAACTTCAGTGTTTTTTGGGGGGAGTTATTAACTTCTACAGGCATTTTATCAAGGACTACCGTCACACGGCAGCCCTTCTCACACAACTCACATCTACACTATGCTCTTTCTCCTGAGGCTGACTCTGCATTTTGTGAGTGAAAGAGGCTATTTACATCTGAATCTATTTTGACTCATTCTGACATGAAATGCCAGTACATTGTGGAGGTTAACGATTCAGACTCTGGAGTCAGAGCAATGATCTCTCAGAGGTCAAAGGTAAATGACAAGCTTCACCCTTGTGCTTTTTTCTTCTGTTGCTTATCTCCCACTAAAATAAAGTATGATGTAGGAAATAGTGAACTATCAACCATTAA